CCTAAGCTCCTCTGCCTCCTGGGCCAAGTGTGTGTGATTAGCTCCAAAACAAAGGCCCAGCTCTTGCAGGTCACCCACATGACCAAGATCGCAGACACCAGAACTGACACAGTTTTCAATCCATCCTGCTGTGGCCTCCAGCCGGTTGATGTTCTTCCCCAATGCACATCCAACATCCTTTCTCAAATGCCTGCCCTGTGAACTTCAAACTTAAAAATGAAAATGGTAATTTTTGACACTAACAGAATTATAATCATATTTACCCATTTTATTCCAAAATCTCACTATCTTAAAGCTATTTCTGCACAAAAACAAAACAACATATCCAGAAGATTATTCACTGCAGCAAAATATATAAGAACAGAATATAGACAACCCAAGCATTCACCATTAGGAGATGAACTGCAAGCACAAAAGATTGAAAAAGAACTTACATGAAGTGATCTCTAGAATACAGTAAGTAAAAAAGAAACAAAACAATGTATATGCAGTTCTACATTTTAAGAAAGAGAAATAAAAATACATGTTTGAGCTTGCATTTGCAAAAATGAAACACTAGAAGATAAAATCGGAACCTAATAAAAATGGGGCAGTAGGGGAACAGGTATAAGAATGGAAGGGGGGCTGTAAACACACCTTTGTAAATCAGCTTTAACTTTCTGAACGACATAAATGTTTTACATACTGAAAAAATACTTTAAATTAAAGCAATCCTTACAAGTTAAAAATTTCATGCAAATAAACCAAATTAATAGTCAAATTGGTAACATAATCAGAGGAAAAACATTTTCAAATGGCTTTATAATTCAGAATGTCAACATTTTAAGAACAAAACAAACTAATGAAATATAAATCTGTTCTTTACTATTAGTGTTTTCAAACTACTATATTTATATTGTAGGATAAAAGAAAGTGATTAATGTTGCTAAGAATGCAAATTTTCAATGGTATGAATTAGAAATAACTCAAAAATCAAAATTTATATATTTCCCAAGTCTGTCCAGTAAAAGCAGGGGCATCACAGTAGCAATCAAGACACAGAGCATCAGATTTTGGTACCTAAATTCCACTCCCAGACAAAAGGGGCTAGAAGAATCAGCTTATAGGTACTGGGCAGGAAACACACAAAATGTGTCTCAGACATCTTGTGTCAGGAGCAAAAAAACAGTTCAAGGATTAATGGGGAACAGAACTAGCTTGAAAGGTCAACACCACACCCAAGTTAAGACAAGGTGAAGAAAAAAAATGATGACTACTTGATTAAAACACACTGAATACACAAAAATCCGTGAGCCACAGTGAGGTTCAAGAGAGAAAACAAAATAGGAAAAAAACAACACAGCAACCCCTTACCCAATAAAAAGGACATTCTTAACACTTGTATCAGGAACCAAAACTCAAGCTAGGAATATTAATTCAGATATATTAAGTTAATACACTGACAGATATATTGTTTGTATACACATGTATACAATGTATAGATCATTTATATATAGATCATCTGCAGACAGATAAAAAAGTTAAATCTGTTATAAGGATATAACTATAAGCAAACTGAACAATCGTTAAGTTTTAAAAGTTGTTTTGCCTTTTAAAGACATTACTACAATCTGAAAACGTCTAAAATTGTATGAAACTGCATTACCAGTCTTTCCATTTGCTCTCTCAACATTTGGATAAAATAATACCCATGTTGAATGGATCCTTCCTCCCTCCACCACTATCCCTACAAGTCAACACATTTAACATTTTAGTGACTTCAGACTGATTCCTCCTGCCTCAAATGACTTCCTTCTCCTTCTCCACCCGCCAATCGACTCTGGAGACTATAGAGACCCTACACTGGCAGATTCCTTCAAACCACCTCTGCTGTTTACCACCAGTCAATGGCTTCCCCGCCTACAAGATGAACACCAATTCCCTTAATGTGATATGCAGATTTAAAATCTACACCAAATTCATCCGTATACAAACTAAACTGGCCATGCCAAAACTACAGGTGGTATCAGCCATGGTGAACATCCTCATGATCAATACCCACAGGACACTTACTACACCCAGGAGCCACTGTACTGAAACATAGACCTGTTAAGGTAAGTGTCCTCATCTCATTCTACAAATAAACATACACAGAAGTAAAAGACAAGAAGGGCAATCTCTTGGGTGAGATTCAAATCCAGGATGGTCTCAAACACTCTCTTCATGCCTCTGCTCCTGCTGTCCCTCCATCTAGACTTCCAACCTCTCCTACTCTATATATATTCTGCAAGGAGCTTCGCCTTTTCTTCCCAGATACCCTCAACATAGAATTTCCTCATCATATATATTCGTGTCTTCCTTACCAGACTGTAAGGACTCTAAGGGCACATCTTTATGTATTATGCTCATACACGACTTGTTCCAGAAAGGACTTAGAGCAATTTTAGGACCATAAAGTAAGAACCCAATAAAGATTATATAAATTTTAAATTAAATACTGGGGCAAAACTAAGCAACCTGTTTCCTTCAACATGAAAAATGTTAATCATTACAGCAAAGATCAAAAGCAGAAAGGAGAAGGAAATCAACATGTTTAGCACCACCTGCTCTTTCAGGAACTGTACTGGGATCCCTACAGTCCATTTAATTTAATTTTCATAACAGCCTTATACGATAGGTTTCATCCCAGTTTACAGCTGACAAATCGAAAGTTTAAACGGGCTATGTGATGAATCAGCTATGTGGCTTTGGATCAGTGGGCCTGCATTTCAACCCACCTCTTCTGAGCTGAAAGGCCATACTATCTCCAAGTCCAACTCCAGAGCTCATCTCCTTTTCACAATACCATAACATCTTCCAAACTGAACAAAATATTTGGACAAAATAATTAATTCCCCTCTCTCAATTTCTTTTTATTCAAGAAAAAAAGAAAGAAAACACTTAAGTGTCTAATAAACATAAAAAGTATTTACGTGGATATATTAACTGCTTTCTCAGCAAATCAAGATCCTGCTAACAGCTAAGTCAAAAGAAATACCCAACAGTATTATTTTTAATATCTAAATAACCCACATGAGTAACTCTTTAGAAACAATAGTATCCTTTTCATGTATTTCTAACATACCAGAAGAAAAAATGCTAACAATTAAGGAATGCAGCCAGTGAAGTTCTAACTGTGCAATCAGGTAAGTCGTGGGGAAGTGAAAACGCTAATTTCTTCCAGTTAAGACTTCAAATTAATAACTGTCATGATAGCTCATCAATACAACAACAGCCAAATTTGAGGTACTACTTCCCATAAAGTGCATAGGCACATACAAACCACAGCAATCTCACAGTTCACAATTAAAGGAAAGGTACCATTATCTAAGATACACTGTAAGAACACCCATGACATTACATTCCATGGGTTTGTTTTTGTTACACCAAAAACAAAACAAAAAGGGATCTGGGGCCAAGTATGGAAAACACTACTGCACTGTTTCTCACAGCCCTTAATGCGATAATATAAATTGTTATATAGGAAAGGACACAGCACTGTTTCCCGAACTTAGGTGTCCAAAGAACCCTGTATTTTTCCTGTAGCATCTCTTAAAACTACAGATGTTCCTGGACTTACAATGGTGTTAAATCCCAATAAATCATCATTAGTTAAAAATATTGTAAATCGAAAACGCACTTAATACACTTAACCTACTAGACATCATAGCTTTGCCAAGCCTAACTTAAACGTGCTCAGAACACTTACACTACACTATCCTACAGTTAGGCAATTATCTTGAGTTATTACCTCACAAGTAATAACCTTCCTCTTCACACCAGAAACAGGACACACAGATGAGTGTTTTGTAGACATGAGACCCAAAAACACAATATCCAAAAAACAATGGAAACACAGTACACTGTAGAATATTGATTGTGATCAGGAGCCTGACTGGGAGCTGTGGCTCACTGCCCAGCTTCACCAGAGTACTGTACTGCATATCACTAGCCTAGGAAAAGATCAAAATCCAAAATTTGAAGTCTGGTTTCTACTGAATGCATATTGCTTTCACATCATCATAAAGTCGAAAATCCTAAATTGAGAACCATGTGTAGTGTCACAAAGACCACCACCTCAAGCAACACTGCTTCTGGATATTCCAAAACTAAGTAAATATTGTTACTGTATTCTGAATTGGTAATTAAAGGTACCATCAGGAACAGTACTAGTGAAACTCCCGTGACCATCAAGTCTAAAAAAAAAAAATAGTAAGTTAAACATAAAGAAATGACTGAAGGCCCTTTTTCCTTATCCATTTCACAGCATTTTAACAGTAATCATTTCACTACTCAAAAGATTAAAAATAAATTTTACTTCTCACCAGAAACTGATTACTACTGATAATTTTGACAAACATACTGTACAACCTCTACATATAATAAAGTCTGATAATAAACATTCTCTAAATTAGCTACAATTTTTTGGTGTTTGCCCATTAACTAAGCATGGGGGAGGGGAGTTGGGAAAAGCCCCATCACTTGAAATCCATGTGAAATTTCACCTCTGAAAGTTCACAACCTCTAAGAGTGTTCACAAACTCAGTATATACTCCCCCCGCCCCGCAAGTAGGGTTTTTCACTTTCTAACAAAGGCTACGTAGAAAGCAATTACTGTTTTTCTCTACCAATCCTTTCCAAGCGAAGAGGTGCTTCCAGAAAATTCCAACAAAATAAAGTTATAAAGGTATTCGCATTCTGGTAGGTACATCGTCTTCCGCAGAAGTCACGTTACACAGCATAAAACACTTAAATATGTCTTTTGTTGCCTTTTGATGTACAGCTGAAATAGCCAAACAATCCACATTTACCACTTCAATGTGCAGGAAAAACCCTCTCCAAAACCCAAAATTCCAACCCACAAATCAAACAAAACAAATAAATATAAAACTGCGTAAACAGGTTTGGAATGACTATTCCGTGGGAATTACTGCGGAGACCCGTCACTATTATCCAGTCTGATAAAGTGGGGGGTTGCATACCCAGTAGAGAGGTGGGTCGAACCGAACCCAAGGCACTGCGCAGTTTCCACGTTGTGCGATTCATCTCCACAAACGCTGCGGAATACGTTCAAGGTCATCGTGAGGAAAAAAGTGTGAGTGTGTGTGTGAGTGCGCAGACCCTGCCACCCGCCGGTATCGCGCAAGGCGCCTAGGGAGAAGGGTACCGCGAAGAAAATGGGGCAGTGGGCGTAACGGGGAGCCCCGAAATGCCGCCTTCTTTGCGAAGCCCACCGCCAGAACCAGAGGCAGAGCTGGGCCGCGCATTCCCACCCGGAGAGCCTCCTTCTCTCCCCGAGGTCCCAACCCTGCCCCTCCCCTCGCAAGGGGTCCCACACCGCCTCGC